ATGTTCATGTAGCAATAATACATATGACATATATGTTTTAAATGTCTCTACCACTGTCTTTAATAATTCCGGCCCGGGGCCCGTTTAATACCGGGGCTCGGTACCCATCCCTACATGGGGAGAGGCGCAGCATATTGCTAAGGACTACATGCGATGGAGAGTTCTCATCTCAGCTGCAATGACATGTCTGGAAACCCCCTCTCGGGTGCCCCATGCATAGCGCGCCGTCAAAAGCTGCTTCATAAGTTAAGTTTCGTTTCTCCGCACCGCTCCGGGGTAAAAAAATGGTAGTTACATCACAGCTGTACGGCTGGCTGACAGCTGTAGCTATACGTACTGTGTGTATTTCGCGGGTTGCTAAATGCTTTGTGTGTGTTTATGTTGACAAGGAGGTTTAATAACTGTGTGCTACACAAAACGTGCAGTCAGTTTCATTTTCATCGCCGTTCGTAGTAGAGTTAGCAGGGTATTTTTATTTTAACTCTCGTCCCAAATTCGTCCCAAAATTAATTTGTATCCTCCCCGACCCGATTTTTTTCGGCCCCGGGACGACGGGAGGTCCTTAAGCTCGAGCCCTGGCAGCTTTCTACAGTTTCAGTTTCCTAACGTTTCTAATCACCTGTGTCCTGCCCGGAAGTGACGTAATGTTGTTTTGTCTTTTACAGTTGCCTGTCTTTACTGCCCCCTGGTGGGCACCAGAGCGCAGCACAAGAGGGTTCATTTATCAAAAGATACATTTATCTATCTATATACACTAGGTACACTTCTCAATAAATAAGAATATCGTGGAAAGGTTGATTAAAGGTAGGGTATGTAAGTTTGAGAAACCGGCTCGAGATACACTTTTTGTTATATTCCATGGAATGCTCAACCTGTTAAGCCCGAGAGACCCCGGTACCGGGGCACTGCCGCAACATCTTGCAGGAAACAGTGTCTGAGGGCATGTTCATTTAATAAACTATGAATGTTTTATATCCATGTAACGGGAAGAAACTCATCTAACTGATAATTTTTATATTTTTTTCAAAATAAAACCCACAATGCTAACACTGAGCCTCTGAATTAGCAATGAGCGAAAAATGCTAACACCTTACTGCACCGAAAATCACTCACAAAACCTTATTATTTATCTCTTCTCTACATCCATGACATCGTTTCACATCGTGAGGTGACACAGAATCGATGGACACCCACATTATCACTGAATTATACTAAATGGCGACGTTATAAGCAAAAACGGACATCAAAACAGGTGACGCTAGGTAGCTAAAAATGCTAACATTTTTACCTTGGCTCTGTAGTCTCTCCAAAGTGGTCTTCAATGGCATTAAAATGATAAAAACGCTGCTGAAGTTAATCCATAGGTTAATCCAATGTGTCTGTGTCCCTTTGAAATGATTTCTGATAATCCATAAGCATTAAAACTGCTTTTCCGTTTCCAGATGTCAAAGCTAGAGATACAGTAGGTTCACTCTGATGCAAAATTACATGCGTGAAGCCCCCACCTTTTCTCTTCACAATGAGTGTGTGTGGGGGACTCCCCCTTCGATTCTATTGGCTCCAACGGTCAGAAAGAGGTGTCAACCATCAAAATCGACCAAGGGGGGCCAGAGATATAGAAAATCCACCCAAATGACCCCAGAAGTGGTTTCTTTTTGCTAAATCTCTCTATAAAGGTCAAATGTCACTTGTTTTGCATCAATCTTGATACAGGGTACTTATTATATGTTGTACTTTGGATTCCTAAAGCTTTTAGTCTACCTTACCATCATCCAAGGGTAGTTTTCACTATAAGTACAAAATAATTTTTGGACGGACACTATAATTTACAGTTTTTTACTATGTAAAATCTGAATTTTCTTTAAAATAAAAAACATCTATATTGATTCTGAGTTTTCTACATCCAACTCACAGGTTTATCATTACTTTGAGAAAAAAGATTATTAATTTAACCCTTTTAGAAGGGAAGATATGGTCATTTGTTCAGGGAATGTCATTTTCGAGCCTGAGACCTGAAAAACAGGCTCAGGGCTTAACAGGTTAACATCCCGATAGCAATGAATATCTTAAGTGCTTTGACAAAAATCCATACAAAAATGTCATCTGTGGAAGCCGTAATACTGTAAAAAGCACGACCAATCATTTTAGCCGACCCGGCTAAAATAACTGGATGGCCTACCTGCCTGTCAGCCTTCCATCTGTGCACAAACTTATCTCGTGCCCTCATTGGTCATGTGCGCGTTCGTGTGTGTTGGATGAGGGGCTCTATAAGGAAGTGCCAGATTTTCTCCGGTCGTGTATTTTCAAATTCTAGCGATCTCGAGCCGGTTTCTCAAACTTACATACCCTACCTTTAAGTTCAATATTTCTATTAAAAAAGGAAACTCGTATATTATATAGATTCATTTCACAAAAAAATTATTATTTCAAGTGGACCACTGAGCCACAGACCAGTTCCTTTTCTCCTTAGCACAGGTAAGACGCTTCTGAAGTTGTCTCTGGTTCAGGAGTGGCTTGACACGAGGAATGCGACACTTATATCCCATGGATACGTCTGTGCGTGGTGGCTCTTGATGCACTGACTCCAGCCTCAGTCCACTCCTTGTGAAGCTCCCCAGCTTTTTGAATGGCCTTTGCTTGACAATCCTCTCAAGGCTGCGGTTATCCCTGTTGCTTGTGCACCTTTTCCTACCACACTTTTTTCTTCCACTCAGCTTATGAATATGCTTGGATACAGCACTCTGTGAACAGCCAGCTTCTTTAGCAATGACCTTTTGAGGCTTACCCTCCTTGTGGAGGGTGTCAATGACTGTCTTCTGGACAACTGTCAGGTCAGCAGTCTTCCCCATGATTGTGTAGCCTACTGAACCAGATTGAGAGACCATTTATTTAAAGGCTCAGGAAACCTTTGCAGGTGTTTTGAGTTCAGTAGCTGAGTCTACAATATTGCATTTTTTCAATATTCAAATTTTCTGTGAGATACTTAGCTTTTCATTAGCTGCAAGATTAAAACAAATAAACACTTGAAATAATTGAGTTTGTGAAATTAATCTATATAATATATGAGTTTCACATTTTAAATAGAATTACTGAAATGAATCAACATTTCCATGATATTCTAAATGTATTGAGATGAGTAACTGTATAAAGCATCAGGAATGACACTACAAAAAAAAGCTGTAGTGACTATATTACTATACAAATATTGTAATTCTATTATAGTTACATTGTCAATAATTACTTTAAAATATGAATATTTTAAATTATGAAACGTTTTAGGTTAAAGGTGGGGTAGGTAAGTTTGAGAAACCGGCTCGAGATACACTTTTTGTTATATTCCATGGAATGCTCTTAACATCCCGATAGCAATGAATATTTTAAGTGCTTTGACAAAAAATCCATACAAAAATGTCATCTGTGGAAGCCGTAGTACTGTAAAAAGCACGACCAATCATTTTAGCCGGCCCGGCTAAAATAACTGGATGGCCTACCTGCCTGTCAGCCTTCCATCTGTGCACAAACTTATCTCGTGCCCTCATTGGTCATGTGCGCATTCGTGTGTGTTGGAGGAGGGGCTCTGTAAGGAAGTGGCAGATTTTTTCCGGCTGTGTATTTTCAAATTCTAGCGATCTCGAGCTGGTTTCTCCAAAATTACCTACCCCACCTTTAAGTTGTATTTTAAAGTAAGGTACTCCTTTAAAGGGTTAGTGGCTCAAAAAATAAATATAGAATATGAAATCGGTATTTTGAGCTTTGTCTTAAGGGAAAACTTTAAGGAGAACAGTTTATTAGGAATAACATACTTTGGTTAAAAAAACAAGACAATGACACATGATTTTCTAGGAAAAAGGACGTTTATAAAAAAGATTTCCATGACAGAGAAAGCTGATGAGGATTCCCTTAAATTACAATAAGAATATTTTTAAAATCTCAAGAAAAACAAATTGATTGGTTAATTTGACGTTCAAAAAGGGAAACTTCTGTTGTATATGTTACTGCACCGTTGTCGTCCGTGTGCTCCTGAAGGCATCATCTGATTGAATGGTTTGTGTCTGACCTTAATATTACAAAGTTTAGATTATAATAACTGACCAGCAATTCTGCATCTGTGTGTATAAGATCTGACTTTTTAAACTCATTTAAATATGCAATCCAATATCCCATTTAATCAAAATTAAATATTGAAGCAAAGATAAACAAAACAACATTTGTATAGTTACATGTTTTGTAAACTGACACTGAATTCTTCATTTTGAGTTTAAAGCATAAAATAAATATCGTATGGCTCAAACATCGATACATAACCTCCCATACAGCAGCAGTAATACTGTACCTCATGGTACACGTTTAAAAAGCTTTCAGGAAAAACACAAAAAGTGAGGTCTGTCAAGGAGACAGCCATTATGACTTCCAGTTTCTATCTCTAAAACATATATAATAACATGAATTTACAGAACGGTGGGTTTGTTAGTGAGGATGGAACATTTATTCTGCGTTTAATTTTCTCACTAAATATGGATCATATATGGCGAGTGATTTGTGGTCTTAACAGTTCCACAAAAGATGATGTTGCTATGGTGCGAATGGCTGTTTTACCCTTCAAAATAAATACAGATCATAAACCGTTTTCTTTGGCCATAAGTATGTGGATATTAAAGCGGCTTTATTCTGCTCATTTTCAGGGTCATATATATATGTATGTAGTGCCTCTCCTGTGACATGTCTCCATGCTTTAATGTTCAAAAAGCTCTTTATTTTTCTCATGCTGCCTGTGCTGCAGCACCTCTTTTCACCCTCTGTCTGAAACCAGAGCCCAGTCTGCTCTGATTGGTTTTTGTTGACCAACATGGCAAAATGGCTGGAGCCAGTGAGTTTTGCCACAAAACAAACATTAGCATTAACCAAAAAAAGAACTGAAAAAAACATCATTGCAGGGTAAATGGATGAATTGACTAACTGTTTCAGCTATTCATTGAAGTAAGGCTCAACCTAGCTTGTGCTACAATTTGTAGAAATATTTATATTTTGCCTAACAATAGCTGTCAAAGTTCTACAGATATTATATATATTAATCTGTAAATCAAACACAACAGTAATATTTTAGAGGGACAAATTGGAGCCAACAATGAAATACTGCCCCAGACCAAAAGTGCATACAAGCATGTCCACATACTTTGGGCCATGTAATGTAACTCACAGGTTAGTCATAACAACCTAATATATAGTATATGACTTCATTTTTCAGTATTTTGTGTGATTAATATGGATAAGGTTACAGTAAAGAAGGCGAGGTGTGTGTGTGCATAATGATTCAGCTTAAAGTATTTTGAATGTCACTGTAAAAAAAGAAAAAAAATATATATATTCACTGCTAATAAGGGGCACAGATGGTTAACTATATGGAAAAAAATGTTGCCTGGATGAAGCCAAAAACTCTGCTCTTTATGTCGCTTCACATATCCGAACCAGGCCTCATTGAGGAATATCCGACTGCATGCCGAAGAGAAGTTTGCCCACCAAACGTCACTGTGTAGCCCTTCACCATTCTCAATGGCCTGCCCATATTTGGTCTTCAGGTTTTCTTCTCATGTATAAAAAATGAACGCACGAACAACAGAGTCCAGCAGGAAGTCAGTTTGACGTCGAAACTTCATTAAAATTCCAGTTTAGATCCGTAACAAATTATTTTTGGTATGTAATGATAAAAGGAAAAGGAGGGAACAGAACAGTAGAGACTCAATAATGTTATTAATACAGCGGCTGTAACCTGATTGTGCTTTTCCCACCTCCTGAGGAAGCGTTGCGGGCAAAGACCATAAGTGATATAAATACTGTTGAATCTCTACAGTGGTGGCTCAATGACGTACACTGAGGAAAAGAACGAGGGGGGGGGGAATCACAAGAGCAGAAGCCAAAATGGCTGATCAGTAGTCTGGGGAATAGAGAGAAGTGTGACTGGCTGAGTATTGCACATAAGTTCAAAAGTCTTTAACTCGTCCCTGCAGACGATGCTTCAGTTGATATTTCTAGACTTTAAGCAGCTGTCAGGGAAAGGTTGACAAAACCTAAAACAAAGAAGCCTGCCCCCTTCTGTTGGGATCTACTGCACGTGTGAACTTTGAACGAACGGTTACTCAAATATTTACGGTAGAGGAGGTGTGGGTACCTGCCGCACAGCAGCCAAACTACCCAGACTCCGGGGTCCTGGAAACTGGGGATCGGAAAAGAGAAAGTAGTTCCCTCCCCTTGGGGTCAGTTTACCCCAGCACAAACACGCTGACACCTCAGTTTCATTTCATGCTGGTCAGAGTAGGTGTTGGTCCAGAGGAGGCGGGGCTAGCCCAGCTGTATCTGCCCCGAGTACATGGTGAGGAGGAGCATGATGGAGAAGCCCGTCAGCAGGCCGGCGTTCTGGATGGCAAAAATGACAAGGAAGCTGCTGCCGCCCGCATCCTCCTCCTCACGACTCACCTCGTTCATCTCTGGAAACTGAGAAGCAGAAAGAAACAGAGACATTTATATTTTTTTAAACCTCTCTGAACTTATTCTACTTTCTCCAATTCCAAATATGGGGGGAGTTCAAGTCCATCTTAAAAGGACACAGAACAAGAAACCATTGGTCAATATGATTGCTCTTATATCCCCTAATTGAAGTCGTTTTAAAATTGTGCCAGTTTTTAATGTTTTATAACAGTTTATTTTATTTTGACTGGTTAATATGCCATTTCATTTGTGTTTTACGACAGCTGTATTCGTCTGCCTGTATTGTTTTGTGTTCATTTGTTGTAACATGTTTCATGCTGCCCTCTTGGCTAAGTCACTCTTGAAAAAGAGATTTTAATCTCAATGAGGTTAAATAAAGGATCTAAAAATAGCCTCTTCCTAATGTGTTTGGAGAACTTTTTTTCTTAAAGAAGTCTGTATGTCTAATGAGAACCCTCATAATGGCACATCCTCCCTTACAACACTTGTATCTATGTTTTCCCAAGTCACTGACCATGTCTGCCAGAGCGATGTAGAGGAACATTCCCCCCGCCAGGGCAAAGATCCAGTTGGGGGAGAAGCTGTTGCCGGCAAGGATGCCAAAGCCCATGCCCAGGTAACAGCAACAGGCCGACATGAAGTTGAAGAACAGAGCCTGCTGTATGCTCATGCCAGCGTTCAGCAGGATCACAAAGTCTCCTGGAAGAGGACAGAAAGATTACATCATGAAGAGAAGAAATGACATTTATTGGATTTGTAGACGCTCAGGGCAACAACATGCCAATAGGAAACATCGACTGGCTTAAACAGAGTGCTGCAGGAATAAGTCCTACAACCTGGTAGTGAGTTAGCATTTTATTACATCTGGTTCCCTTGTCTCAAAGTTGATGATTTTTTTTACTTGATTTTGATGTGATGCTTGAGATAAGGTGTGTGGTTAACACAAGCACAAGAGATGTTCATGTTTTGTTCTATGACATAAAATAAGACAGTAAATACCAGAGGTGGGGGACTCGAGTCGCATATTTTTGGACTTGAGACTTGCTTGACTAACATTGATATAAGACTTGACTTTGACTTGGTATTCATGACTTGAGACAGATGACTCGAAAGGACTTTACTTTTTTTTATTAAATATTTGCATTTGTTTTTGTATTGTACGGAGCCCCTAAAGGGCAATGAAAAAAAAAGATACTGTATCTCATTCGCACGAGAAAGTTACCGGAGCGCCAAGTAGGAAGTGGAGCACACAGGAGACAACCGTTTCATTGCAGACTGTTATGTTTATGTTGGGAAATGGCAGTATACATTATTTTAGATATATTTCGAACTCGGACTCTCATTCACTTCATGAAATCGCTACAGCACCAGGAGGCAGCGGGACGTGTAACTCCGCCTCTGAGAAGTGCAGCACCAGCGCGCAAAGAGCTGTGCCTTTTACGCAACGCCTTCACTGTGTTTACTTTCATTAGAACAGCGACCACATGCTGGCTATGACACACACACACACACACAACAACACACACACACACACACACACACACCACACACACACACACACACACACACACACACACACACACACACACACACACACACACACACACACACACACACACACACACACACACACACACACACACACACACACACACACCACACACACACACACACACACACACACACCACACACACACACACACACACACACACACACACACACACACACACACACACACCCACACACACACACACACACACAACACACACACACACACACACACACACACAGCATTGGCTTGATGCAATATTCTTTGTGCGCAGACACAGTTAGAAAACAATGAGACAGTGTCATATGGGATCACCTTAGACAGATCATGGAGGAATGCTGTGACCCCGCTGAAGGGGAGCCAGGGCAGGAGGCTTAACATGTTGATGTAAAATATTTGTGTAGTACTCCTGTTATCACTTTAGAGCCCTTTTAGAACTTATAGGGTTATAATTTCAGTGCCCCACTCTCCATTGCTGTTTATGTTGGAAAATAAATCTAAACTTTTCATAACCACAATATTTTTAACTGATTTAAATGCGGTTAAATCAGTTAAAAACTGGGGTTATTCATCAGAATTTCGTATGACTTGACTTGTGATTTGCTTGACCTGAGCAATGACTTGACTTGCTTGACTCTCACCACAGTGACTTGGGACTTGCTTGAGACTTGTAGGTTAAGACTTGAGACTTGCTCATGACTTGCACATGTAGGACTTACTCCCTCCTCTGGTAAATACCCTACTTGTGAACAAAGCTTCTATGTGTCATAAAAACCACAATTGCTAACAAATGGCTAAATGAGACTACAAAACGTCAATACGTCCAACATTAGCCACTTTAGCTTAGCGGTGGTGATGTGCAGCCCATGGGTGTACAAAGAGAACTGGATACAGCGTTGGAGGCGAGACCCTGTTCTTTCCTACGAAAGTTGCTCAGTGAGGCATGAATAAAACATTTCCCGACTCTTGAGAGAAAAAGTATCCTTATCTGGGCCCATAGAGAATGAGCATTTTAGCGCATTTCAAAACTTTTAGACCATAAGGATTTAAATAAGGGCTATACAAGTGGTTTTGCTTGGTAGTTGATTTAGTTCAGAGAAAAAAAAATCCGCTGATTTAGAGACGTCTCTCCCAATGTAAGTATTTTTGGGCCCATTGACATCACAGACTGACACAGAAGTTGTAGTACCATCGTTTGGCCGCTAAAATAATTTGCTTCAACGTCCGGCACACTTTCTGGGGTCTTGTTGCAGCCATGCGACCGTGATATAGCTCATTTTTTGCCAAAAGTTAGCTTTTTACTTCTGGCTAATGCAAATCACAATATGGCGTAAATATCTGGAGATTATCCTGCTGAGCAAAATGTGTAAGTATGATAAACGTTGATTTTTCCGCAATATTCCAAAATCCAATGAAAAGATCCCACTGTGTCTCTTCGCGGGGTTGCTCACTTCTGGGTTTGGCCTACAAAAATACGTCACCACTGCAGTACTGTATAAAGTGCAGACTCACCGAGCTCGTGGGGGAACTCCTCACACAGGATGGCCACGGAGGTGCTGACGCCTTGAAAGACGGAGGAAGTGAAGGAGGCGCCGATGGCCAAGCCGTCGATGAAGTTGTGCAGGCCGTCGCTCAATGTGATCATCCAGGCCAGCGTGCCGATGTCGGAGTATGCGACCCCCTTCAGCCAATAGCAGCCCCTGCCACTGCGGGACCGACCCCCACTTTCTGGGCTCTGGGAGTCCTGGGATGAACAGAGTGACGGACACCCATCAGATGAAAAAAAAATGTATGAACTCACTCTGAGCAAATAAATTCTCAATACTAAGAAAAATGTGTATCAATTAGGTAAAAGAAAACACTTTCTGCCACCCCAGCCTAACCTGTGGTGTCTGTGCGGGGCTGAGCATGAGCTCCCCCTCCCCTGCGTCCACTTTGCCCAGGGCCAGACTGCTGGCCTCTCCGTTCTGCTGCAGCTTCTCCTTCTCGCCCTCCACATCTCCGTCAGGGGTCGAGTAATGATCTGCACTCGGGTAATGACTGTGACCGTGGCCCTGGCCCTGGCCCTGGCCCTGGCCCTGGCCCTGGCCCTGGCCCTGGCCCTGGCCCTGGCCCTGGCCCTGCGATACAGAGAGACAACAGATATCAGGAACAATTCATGAAGTATTATTCATAAGTAATATATATAATAGATATTGGCGTATCTATTATCTAGTATTTTTTACTATATATTTTTTATTATTTTTATTATTTTTCTAGTTCTCTTGTTTTTATGCACCACGACATCAAGTCAAATTCCTCGTACGTGTAAACCTACCTGGTAATAAACCTGTTTCTGATTCTGATTCTGGTTTCTATTGCTTGTGGATCTATTCTTCATGACAAAAAAAATGACCTTGAATCTGTTAAATTAATAAGAGAAAAAACAGAGGAGAATTTACGCTCAAGTTATTTTGAAATGAATCACAAACATAGCGTTCCTTCTGCGTTCTGTGTTACCACTTCCACTTGATTGTTTTTGTTGCCTCTCTCAGGAATACACAACAGCCATGCAAATGCAAGCAGCCAAAACTTTATTTATAGCACATATTCCATTTCAGGTACTTCACACAGAGTGAGCAACCATGGAAGTTGCAGACACAAACACAATATAAATAGCATAAAGAAAAGCACTTTTTAGCTGTTCGGGTTCAAAGTCCAATACAATTGGTTTCCAATAAAAAACTTTACGACAGCTGTATTCGTAAACAAATTATTGTTTTTCATTAAACTTGCATCCTTGGATAACAAAAATAAAATGACAAAAAAGCTCTTTATTTTCCTCATACTGCCTGTGCTGCAGCACCTCTTTTCATCCTCTGTCTGAAACCAGAGCCCTGTCTGCTCTGATTGGTTAACTGGCCCGCTCTGTTGTGATTGGTCAACCGCTTAGACATGTCCCTCCCCTACAATGTGTTGGAACGCTAGCCACTAGAAGCGGCAGTGTTACATAGTGATGTCACAAGGTTGCGTGTTTCAGGCAAGGGGGAGTGTGACCGATTTTTGGAGGGGACTTTGGGATTTTAGCCTTTGCAGAACATTAACATGCACAAACACCTATATAACACACTACAGGAGAGGGAAAGCCCCAAAAGGAATAGTAGGGCCTCTTTAAAAAAGGTCATATTCCGCATGATGGCTTGAGATTCTGACTAATTCTCACAACACTCTATTGTAAAATGATTTGATCACAACAATCACATATTCATTATTTGTTCATCTTATTTAAGTTTGCAGGGACAGTGACTCTAAACCTGGCTCACATCTACCACAAAGTCAAAGCAGGTAAAGTCAAATTCAGTGTTTTGCTCTGTAACACTTCACCAGAATTGTTAAAGGGTTTCTTTTTTGCAGTGAAAGAAAAAAGCTGACAGCAGTACTTGCAGGCGCCAATATGGGTCAAAGAGCGTGTGTAATAGGATCAGCACGTAAACGTGTTAGTTGTTAATTAGGTTGGCTGGACCATATGGCTTAAAGCCGAGTAACCACAAGGTGGAGCAACTTTCCCAGAATCACCACCCATTCACTGCTGCTTTTTGTGAATGAAATCATTCAAGTTTAAGAATCCTATTTTGGGGGAAATGTGTTCTGTAACTTCACAAATGTGACTATAGATTTGCATACCAGTTATCAGAAAACTGTATAAGCAACTGCAACATACATTATCACTGCACTCCATAGTGACATCACCATGTAACAATTGTGCTTCTATTGGCTAGCGCTCCAACACATTGATTGGTTGGCCATCCAGCCAACCAATCAGAACAGACTGGGCTCTGGTTTCAGACAGAGGGTGAAAAGAGGTAAATTCTTGTTTCTTTAATGAAATATGCGCAGCAGAAGGGAAAGAGTTAAACTTTGTGACATCAGTTCGTAAATGAAGTCAAGTGCGTAAAACCTTCACCCAGTAAATGATAAATGATTCCTCTGAGTCGCATATTTTTTTCAGTGCGGCAAACAAGAATTTTCTGTTGACTTTTTAAGCATAGACAGCTGAACATTCCTTTCTGAAGGACACGTAAGAGTATAGTGGGGAGCCAGCTTACATAATGTTAAGATACACTTCCTTTTGGTGAACTACTGTAATCTGAAATCAACTCATCATTGCCTCTGGCCCTAACATCCTGTTCAACTGGTTAAACCAGACACTGATGAACAGATAATACAAGTAACTATTTAAATGTGTTATGAACAAATAACAATCTGATCTGTTGAACTTCTAGATAACGTTACAACGGATTGGTGTGGAGGATCAACACGTAAAATACATAAAATGAATGACCAATTATGGATTTAAAAACCTCACATTCTACTCCACTATAATTTAATCTGCAACGTTATCTCTCAGTAGGATTCAAATATCTTTAGTAACATTATATATATATTTTATTATTCAATTATTTGTGTAAGATCCAATTATTATTCAATATTAATGATTTTTTTTGTCAAATTCATTAAAAAAAGTATCTTATTCACAATTTATTATGGAAACATCATAGGACTCCAGTATTATAATTGTTAAATATTGAGCAAAATAATATTAGTTTTTTTTCTACAGAATTCAGAAATTTCACAGAAAATATGGTTCCAAGCTAATTGTGGTTCAAATCTAGAAAAAATAAAACATTGAAGCATTCTTTTACCGTATGGCATGTTGACTGATAAACTGAAAGACAGTGCAATACACATCAATTTAATATTCTTGCAATGACGTGTACAGTCGCCATATTTTTTAGCTAAACTGGTTTTGGTAAAATGTTCGTTGTACCCTAGACAGTTTTTTCATCCAATTTTTAAAAGTCTTGTTTGGCAGACGTCTTTTTGATCCGTGAGTTGATGGTGCACCTTTTCTTTATTAAGGGAAACCAATGACAGAAAAGGGAACAGAGCACGGTAGGTTCTCCTTTGATTGTTAGTCCTGGTTTCCACAATACCGTTTTGTGTCTTGACCTTGGATACAAGCTGTTTAAAGCTGCCATAAATACCAGCTCTGTGAGGCTGGCAGAGGATCGTTTTGTTGAGACTGTAACAGAGATGTTGATTCAGTGTTACTCTTGTTTATCTTTCTTCGGCCCATCTATATTCGTCAACTCCGGACTTACAACTCACCAAGGCTCACACTGCACCAAGTTAATTTAAAGAAAAACACATTTAACCGATCCATACATTATACGTGATAGTCTAAGGGGCTGAACATCTCTAAGCGGTTTACCAATCACAACAGACTGGGCTCTGGTTTCAGACAGAGGGTGAAAAGAGGTGCTGCAGCACAGACAGTATAAGAAAAATAAAGAGCTTTTTGAACATTAAAGCATGGAGACATGTCCCAATAGAGGCACAAAATACAAATATGAACCTGAAAATGAGCAGAATAGGGACCCTTATAGTGTAATGAAATGAATATCAACAATATATGGATAGACTGGAGCAAATACTTAGATTTAAAGTTCCAATAGGCGCGTTCACACCGCAGTACTTTTCCCACTTTAGTTCCGATGTTGCGTTCACACCAAAAAAATCCGGAACTAAAATTAGTTAATGAGAACCTTTTTACCCCCTTTTCCGTCCCTGCTAGAGAGCAGGTACTTTCGTGGGAGAAAAAGGTTCCTATTTCTGATTGGCTGGGCGGAATGCAAACCACGCCCCGTATAACTCCCAAAAGGTTTTGTGAAGCTGCCATTTTATTATCCTCGCATTAGCATTAATAGCATTAGCATTAGCCCAGCGCACAAACGCAAAGAGACTAACTTATGGCAACACAAAATAAAACATGGGAGCGGTGGAGATGAGGAGGTGTCGGCGTTCTGGCGATTTACTCGGAAGGCTTCAGTAGAAGCTGCTGGGAGTCCCAGCAGCTTCTACTGAAGCCAGTCCCCAACTAGAAGTGTTTCTGACTTAGCATACATTGGGATGTGCTGATTGGCGTTTACAGTAGTCGATAACACTGAATGTGCGTATTCAAAATGGATTTAATGGGAACTTGTTTTTGTAAAACAAAATGCCATAAAACAGATGAATTAATTAACCTTTTAAATATGTGATTTGCAGAATTGGTCATTTTAAAGATAAATGGAGGTGATTATTGCTCAGATTCAGTTTGGTTTTGAGAGCAACTTTTTCATCACATCATTCTTGCTGTTTATGTACTCACCCCATTTTTCTGTTTGAGAAGCACTCTGAGGATCTTTTCAGTGAAGAAGAAGAGGTAAAAGCCAGCGAAGACCACGGCTGATTTGGACACGTAGTTATCCACCATGGGGTTAAAACCAAAGGCCTAGCATTGCAGGAAAGAAGATGATATCAGTTTCTGATGGTTATTTATAGTAGCTGTTATATAATTACTGCCTGGCATCACCTGGTGTGTATATTTTTTAAATGAGGTGTTGCTTGAAACAATTGTCAAATGTCATTTGGCAGGATTTTTCAGTTGAACAATTAGCGGTTAGTGAATGTTTGAACTCTAAGAGGCTGTAGGCTGTGTATTAAGCTGTCATATCAGACAGAAACCTCCTCTTTTTTCTGTGAAATTATGCAATACATTTCACAACAGCTGTAAACTTGGCCATGGTGTCTAGACGGCATTTAAAGCCATAACACACGCTTTCCCATACTTGTGGGTTATACCACTCCTTAAGTAAGGCTTGAGTTTGAACCTTGCTTAAACATGTACCTAAGCTTCCCTTGTTAACCAAACTGATCAAATTCAATGTAAAGAGAAAACAATAATTGATGAATTAGGGTAATTATTCAATTATAAATATTATACAAGTACATCTAAAGGCTTCTAGAGGACTGTAGCCATATTTACTTTTAGTCAGGTTTCTTTCTTAAACTTCAGATACTTAAATGGCGACCAATGTGCAGCATATATCACCAACACACTTGGTCAGTCATATGTCAGCTTTGTTTTAAGGGATAATGTGTGTCTGTTCTATATATAACCCTAGCAAAAGCACCTACATTATTGCAATTAAACCTGTAATTTAGACCACATTTGATTTGGATTTCCTGTAATTGACCAACACAAAAGACCCCTGTGTCTGTTCCAAACACAGGGGGGTTGAATATGTTTGCAAACTTATGATTTATTTTATCATAATTTTTGTGTGATTAACAATTAAGAAATATTTTACCATATTTGGGCCGCCATTTAGCTTATTTGGTAGAACTGGCAACCAATGAACAGGGGATTGTCACCCATGCGGGGTAGGACCTTTTGCCGCATGTCATCCCCACTGTGTCCCCCGTTCATTTCTGTCACTTAATAAAGGTTACCCAAATACAATCAATTTTTTTTGCATCTTCTGCTGGGCATGTTGTGTACATCAAATAATAAAATGTTTCCAAACTCAGCTTAAATTACAGGTTTTGACGCAATAAAGGGAGGTGAAAACATACAGTTTAAACCTCTTTATTTACTCATACTATTCATCCTCTTCCTTTGACTGCCTAGCGACCCTGCACTGTGATGGAGCTGCAGCTAAGGGAGTCACGGCAGCAGCGACACTACCTCTGGGATGAGCTGAAACAGCGCGTTGGAGTAGAGCGTGCCAATGGCCAGGGCTATGAAGAAGAGCAGCAGCCGCTTGTAAAAGGTTTTCCTCATGAAGGGCACCACGCTCGCCCCGACCAGCGAACACAGAGAGATCAGTGTCACACACAGGATCCCATAACCCCACACTGATCAACGAGGAGAGTGGGCGAGAGGAAAAGAAGAGGGAAGGCAAAAAAAGACAGAGAGGTAATTAGTTGAGAACACGGTTTTTTCAGATTAGTCACCAGAGTAAGGAATAAAGAGCACCCGCCAGTAAACACCCTGAAAAGAAAAGAAGAATTGAATGAAATCAACCTGAGGAAAACCAAGAGATTTTTAAAGACACCGGAGAAAACATGCTTATTTGAAAACAGATCAAACACCACCTTTCATCGGTCCTTTGAAGCAGTCATCGCACCCCAAGCATTTTGATAGAGAGGGGAAGTGATTAAAGTGAAATTACAGTTTACTTGCACACACACACACACGCACACGCACACACACTTTTGTCCTAGTCCACTGGGGTGCATCTGTCCCTCTATGCTAGCCCTCGGGGTACACACTAGCTATCACTGCAAACACAAAAGGGGGCAAATGAACTTAAAATAGCCAGTGAGAATGGAGCATTCTTAACAAGGGGATGCCTTTACATTTGAAGGACACTGATGTTGCGCCCCAGCTACCCTGGTTTGTGTCACACAAACTGAAATTATGAGCCAAAAAATTGAATGTGTGTTTTCATGCGAGTCTGCTTCAGCCGTTCTTCATGCTGCAGCGGTAAAAAAAAAAAAAAGAGAAGGGGGGACTGTCTTTCAGAGAAAAACGTCATAGCTGGCCTACATCTACAGGTCCAGAAATGGTGCAGATACAAACATGCAGTTCACACAAAGAGAAAAGCACCGCAGATGATAGGTGATGCAGTGTGGGGAGATCGAAACCAAAAGGCCAAGTACAGTGCTTATAAGACCCCAAAGTTGCACTAGTTTCATAAGTGTGAATTAAAGAGGTTTTCAACCGTGTTTTTTTATTTGATTTGGAAAGTAAAATTGTATGGCCCAAAACATTTCCATTACTAGAAACGCGAAAAGTTGGCCAACAGTCACTGGAAATGTATCTAAAATCTAAAAGATCTGCTGTAAGATAGTTCACTAACATAGCTAACCTATTCATTTCAAATATACTGACAAAACACCTACAATTATGAAACAGACTGACTCTGCCAACAGTGATAAATGGCCAACTTTATAATCCTGTCAAGTTGGTGAAGATGTTTCTGCATTTGCATGGGCCAATTTGAGTTTTTTTATTATCATTGTTTTTGAAAGTGCAGCCCGTTTCACCTAATGGAAGTGTTTTGGGACGTTGAAGTGAGTTTGCACCGTAAAAATGTGATGTGAAAAGATGCAAAATGTGGATGGATGGATGGATGTATGGATGGCTGTATGGATGGATGGATGTATGTATGGATGGATGGATGTATGGATGGCTGTATGGATGGATGGATGTATGGATGGCTGTATGGATGGATGGATGGATGTATGGATGGATGGATGGATGGATGGATGGATGCATGTATGGATGGATGGATTGATGGATGGCAAACCTCTGGCAGGAGCTGCAGGATGGCAGTGGAGAACAGCGTGCCAATGGCAAGAGCGATGAAAAAGGTGAGCGCGTGTTTCATATAGCGCGTCTTCATCAGGGGCATGATGAAGACTCCGGTGAGGGAGAATAGATTGATGATTGTGACGCTCAGGAAAGAAAAACCCCACACTAGAGGTTTGAGTGGCAGGAAGGTTGGATGGGAGAGGAAGATGTAACATTAAAACATGCACATGTTATTTTTTTGCCCACAATACAGAAATATGTAAATTGTTGAAAAGGGTTGCAAGTGGCTTTTAAGGGTCAAAAGCCAGAAATGGGAAACCACTGCTTTAACAAACACCTGTAAAAACTAAATAAGGTTAGTGAAAATTAGTTAAAACTTTTACTGTCATTTTTGGCTGAAGAACCTGTGAAGTTTATGGGAAAGAAAGGTTCAAATTAGGAGAGATTTCTGACTAATCAGATGCTGTTAAATACTGTACCTTCTCATAGCTAAGAAAGGAGACCGAATCTAGATTAGGGGGTTTGTGGTAAAGCAAAGGCAAACCTCTATAAAGTACAACTCAAAAACAAAGTAAAAGTTTGCTTTTAAGTTAAAGTGCTATCAAAATGGTGCCCCTAGATTAGCTACATCTCAAATTTGGCCTGTGCAGCACCGACACAAATCTCTGATTGGTCCATATTCCACCTTGATCAATCTCGATCAATCTCGATCAACTCAATCACTAGTTTCTTCAACTCCTGTGTTTTTTTCCTGCTGAATTTCATAATACGAACTGAAGTTATTCATGTTACAAGAAACTAGAGAACTCTTCTTCAAAAAAGATAACACCAAAGTAGTTTCGCGGGTCATTTGAAAACAGCCGGCCTGTAGGTAGCAGTTGATAATGAACATCTTAAGATAGTTGCTAGGCATGGTGTCAAAAGGGATAAATAGTAGACATAGCAAAGATAATACTAAATCAGCATCAACACCCTAAAACAAGTAAAATCGTGCCGTTTGTGGTTTGACTTTACCATGACCAGTGAAAAACATCACATTTAGGTAATGAGAAAGGATCAAGATATACGAGAGAGAGTTGAATTTCCATGGCTTCCGCCTCCCTGCTGCAGGCAGACCTTCACAGCCAAGGCAAAGAAAACAGATCTCAGGCCAAAATAAGCGGTCTACAAGGGCGAGTGTGAGGCCAGCTGAGGGAATGAGAGAGTGATAAGAAAAATAAACATGTATCAGTGGAAGGGGAGAGATAGCTAACATATTTCTCCTCTACCCGATGAAGAATGAGATGTGTGGTTAAACTAACTGACATGTGAGAGTTGGTTTACCAAGGCTACGATGGCTTCATATATTTGAAGTTTATCAACTGTGCAAGTGTTACATAGTGATGTCACTATGTTGTGGAAGTAAACAAAGGAGTCCGTTTGAGGCAGGAGGGGAGTGTGTGGGAGAGAAACTCTCTCTGGAGGAACTTTGGGATTTTAGCCTTTGCAGACCATTCACAAAAACCTATATAAAGAACTACAGTAAAGGGAAAAACCCAAAAAAGCTGAATAAGGCAATTTTAAGCATTGCTGCTTTTTGACAATCGAGGGCAGGACATAGCACAAGATGGCCACGTTCTCAAAGTCTGTCATCAGCTAGCTTCTTATGAGAGCCACATACTGCAATTCAAATTAAGTTTCCACTCAACTATAGCTCTTGTTAAATTGGATGGAGAGACCAAAATGACTTCCAGGGCTCGCAAGGACGTCCTAATGGTTGTGTAAAGTAAGCAGTCCGTGTGGAGTTACAATGAGTCAGCAGCCAAGGAAAGAGGAGCAGTTTGTGGCAGGCATGGTTTCCTGTCCCACTGTCTTTACCTGGAGGACATCTCTGCTTTCCATCTGATGTGCTGACTGAGGCACGATTTCAGGATGTGTTGCTTTTGTAGCCAAACTGAGAAATCTAATCTGAGCCTTGGCTATCTGTGCGTGATTGTTATGGCTTTCATCTCGTTTGGGGACATCATGATAGCACTGTCTCCAGGCAACAATACACACAATTTGGAGCTCAGATCTGATGGAGAAATGTGTTTTTTAAAGCCTCCATGTATTAGCTGAAAATACAGTTGTAAAAAAAAGAGAGACGAGGACAAACTTTCAAAAGTTAGTGATTGAAAGTAATGATGATGTAGTCTCTCTAGAATAGGCAGAATTTAGTTAGTTACACAATGAACAGATACAAAAGCTGTAAAAAGAAATATCAACAAACTGCAAAGTTGTTTACCAACAGACAACACAAATGCAATTAAGTACATTTAGAGTACAGTACAGTTAAAGAATAAATTCAAAGGATAAGGCTGCTGAGACTTTTTTCTTTAGTCAACAAATTCATTGGAAAGACCAAAACAAATATTATCTCATTAAAGGGGCCCTAATTTGCACATTTTAAGGTTCATACTTTGTATTTAGTGCCTCTACTGTGACATGTCTCCATGCTTTAATGTTCAGAAAGATGTTCATACTGCCTGTGCTGCAGCACCTCTTTTCACCTTCTGTCTGAAACCAGAGCCCAGTCTGCTCTGATTGGTCAGCTGGCCGTCTCTGTTGGGATTGGTCATGCTTGGAGATGTGTCGAAAATGTCCCGACCCTTAGCCTACAATGTGTTGGAGCCCTAGCCAATAGAAGCGCAAGTGTTGCATAGTGACGCACTATGTTACAGAAGTGAACAAAGTATTCCAATGGAGATGCAGTGGGGGGGGGGAGTGTGTGGGAGAGAAACTCCCTCTCGAGGGAACGCCGGGATTTTAGCCATTGCAGACCATTAACATGTACAAAAACCTATATAACACACTACAGGAAAGGGAAAACTCCAAAAGTCATAATAGGGCCTCTTTAGTTATTAAAATGATCATTGGAATATGCTCCGTTAGTACAATTAATTAATTGTTAGTTTTGGTCTTTTCATTGGATTTGTTGTTATCCTCTAGATCAGGGGTTTTCAAAGTGTGGGAAGGTGAGCCTCCCCCCAGAGAACATAAGAACAGCCGCGCCACCCCCTCCCAATTATTATTGCTATTATTATTATTATTGTTGTTGTTGCTATAATGCAGGGGTATTCAATTGCATTTCGAAGAGGTCCAGTAAGAGGGGGGGGGGGGGCGCTAGTGAACTGTCAACGGGGGGGAGCCTCGCTGCGGGGAAACGGTGGACCTTTGTCGCCTGTCAGCGCAACTTCAATGATGCCGTTTAAAAACATAAAAAATGAAGGGCGGTGCCGGCCGTCAGCGAACCGAGCCGGCCGTCAGCGAACCGAGCCGGCCGTCAACGGCCCTTGACGACCGGCCGTTCTGCGATTCTACAGATTCTACAGAGGACCAGTCTGCCCCAAGTGACACACGCTTTCTGCCAGACGCTGTCTCCTCTCTCACTTTAGGTAACTTCACAAAAAATCGATCCATGTTGCCGCTCGCATAAAGTTAGTTGAAGTTAACTACCTAGATTTCACTGTTTCTCGTAAAAAGATTCTGACGCTGCGCCTCCCCTGAAGCTCTCTGGTATGAAGGTAGATATGGTGCAAAATGCGAGAACGTGTAAAACCTGATGTGAGCACTTGCAGAAAAAAATCTGAGCTTGTGTGCATACATTTACACTTGTATAAAATATCCACGTATCTGTGAACCACATTTGAAGTCACAGAAGAAAAAAAAAAGTTTTGTAGCTTGTAGAAAAAAAATGAACTCAGTGATGAAATGTTCACTTGCAGAAAAATATATATTTTTAAAATATATTTTCCATTACAACTGCAACTTGGTTATTACGACCTCTCAAATCAGTCATTACAACTTCACGAATCTGCTCTGTGACAGTATAAATTGACGAATCTGCGGCCTTGACTTTTGCTACACTTCTTGCGATGAATGTGTCGCTAAAGTAATTTTCACCTGTAGATGTGGGGGGAGGGAGGGGGGTTGGAGCGAAGGGGCGGAGCTATCAGAACGACGAGGCGCAAGCTCGGGTCAGTCACACACAAACAAGTGACTACTGTTGCCCCTTTCACACCAACGCAGCTCCCGTTCTAGCTCCGTGCTTCGCTCACAACAACAATGGGGGACTGCGTCTACAAGCTACAAAACTTATTTTTTTCTTCTGTGACTCCAAATTTGGTTCACAGATACGTGGATATTTTATACAAGTGTAAATGTATGCACACAGTGCTCACATCAGGTTTTACAGGCTCTCGCATTTTGCACCATATCTACCTTCATATCTGGCGCCCCCGCGGGGAGGCGCGCCTCACACTTTGAAAACCGCTGCTCTAAATCAAAAGAATGTAACCTAGTGTTCATTACAGGAATCTTAAAAGAAACATATGTTGATTGTTCTTAAGATCGATAAATACCTAAATAGCGTGTTAAAGATAAGTATCAAATCCGTGCTCACCTTCGCCGTCCGTTGGCCTGGGGCCAATGCTTGACTCCTCCTCTTTTTGCGCCCTGCAGGTGCCAGCATCCAGCTGCTGCAGCATGGTGGGGCACAGCTCCTGGAGGCCCCGCCCATCCAGCCGCGACTGCTCACTGATGCTGTAAATGGCCAGTGTGTCTGCAGCTAAGCACTGGAAATTAAAGTCAGCCAGTTAGCCTAAAGAAGTTAGCATTTTATTTTAAAATATTGTTTTAGCCAGGCTTAGGCAGTAACAGATTACATTTCGAAAAAATTGGATTACTAGCAGGCAGTGGCGAGCCGTGAGCTTTATACCTAGGCCCTCTGACCCCCACCCCTTCCCTCGAAAAAAAGAAAAAAAAAAGAGTTATTACGTCACAGCGTATACTTCAGCGGAATATCAAAACAACGGCCCAGGGTGCAAAACGCATCAATGACAGCGACCCTCTACCACACAAAACAACACCTGTGAACCCAATTTGTGTTCTTTGACATTGAAAATGATATTGCATTGTGTTTGTTACTTTCGTTGCAGTTGTATGTCTTAAGTGTAATTTGGCATGGTTTTATTTTGAAGGCGAGTTCACGCTGTTGACAGGAAGTTGTTGTTGCTATGGAAACAAGAAAAGTTTCACAGCGGGCGGAACTCGTCATAAAGTCCGCGATAATAAAACCCACCCATTTAGAGGGAAGATATGATTGGTCAATTGTACTGTCATTTGACATTACTCTCTCGTTCAGTTACTATAGAGTGGCGAAGTCCCTCCCCTTCCGGTTGAGCCCCATGGGACCTTATTTCGGAAAAGTTATGCATTGAAGTCAATGGAGAGAGAAAGATTATCTTTCGATCCCGTTTGAATTGTGCCACGAATTACACATATGATGTTTGTCAATTTAAAAGATAATTTTGCAAGTCAAAAAAATTAAAATGTGTCGTAAAACTGTGAAGTAACACATTTGTTTGTGTGAAAGGCTCAATGAACTACATCTCTGGTCAACCACACACGTCACCAAGATGGCCGTCACTACTGTCTTGTCAACAAACGATTGACTATCACCACAATGAAACACGTCCTGAAGAATGTCATGCAAAGCTGCCTGCCTGCCTTCCTTTGATTCTCTCTGAACTGCCTGGTCGTTTTAATGTTTAATGTCAACCATTTGTGCAGATAGCATGAAGTAGAAAAGATCGCCGATGCTAACGTTAGCGTTAGCATTTCTCCCCCGGAATTAAATGGTGTATTATAGAATGATCACACCGGTGACAGTACTATTCAAAGGGTTCACGAAATATGACTACTACTCTTACTGTTTAACATTTTGGGTTACTTAATGTTACTTCATGTTAAGGCTAATAAAATGACAAGGCTGTAATGCTAACTAACGTGCTAGCTACTAGCTAGGTAGCTAACTTGATCAAGCCACTCCTGGTCGTTTCATCAGACGGGAAGCAAAAGAACGAGCAAGACCCATTGCTGGTATAATAACAACCTGGTACTAAGCACACAGGCATCTTGTTAAAGTTATCTTATCTTAGCCAGCGCCATATAGATAGATTATATCTATATTGCGCTGATCTTAGGTATCTGAATGGTGGAGGTAAACAATTGTGACATCACTTACGCGACTCTGGGATTTGTAGTCTTTCTAGTTACGTATTTTTCATAGTCTTATATTTCAACAGTTTTACGACAAACTGTGACTTTTTTGACATGGAAATGATTTTTTTAAGATTGACAAACATCATATGTGTAATTCATGGCACAATTCAAACGGGATCGAAAGATAAGTTTTCTCTCCCCATTGACTTCAATGCATAACTTTTCCGGAATAAGGTCCCATACCCCGGAAGTAAGTGGGAGGGACTTCGCCACTCTATAGCGGGCCCTCTGTGAATCGCAGAGAGGTCCGCTATAGTAACTGACATTCAAACAGAGACTGAACAGGCAGATTCGAAGGATTTATTTCTTTGGAAATGTTATTTTATTAAATCAAGTTTTTTTTCGGTAAAACTAATGAAAAATATAACAAAAATAATATTAAAAAAATATATATTTAAAAAAAATATTTTTTTTTTAATGTTTTTAAATATTATTTTTTGGAATATCTTAGGCCCTCACAGAGGGCCTAGAGGGCCCTGACGGCTCGCCACTGCTAGCAGGATTACAATGTTACAAAAAAACAGCTTATAGTGTTTGTTGTAAAAGGATCAGATGTTATTTCTTCTTTGTAAGCTGTATTGTTCTGTAGGCTAAGTGTGAATCTATACAACGTCTGGCTGAATTTGCTTTATGGTTTTCATTTTCTTTTATTCATTTGTTTCAATGCAATAGGTGAACCTATATGTTCATAAAATAGTGTGTGTGAACTTAACTATGTTTTACACTAAAACAGATTGAGGTTGTACAAAATTAATCAGTATTCAGGTAACATTTTGAAACTCAGATTAGGTTACTGAAACATGTTTTTTAAAGTAAGCCTTGTTTGGTTCCAGCTGGATTAGACAAAAAAAACACATGTGAACACATCACATTAGGCTTTGGTGTATTTGAAGTGTCATTCATCACATAATAAAAAAAGAAAAATAGTAAGATGAGACAGTATTGATTATTTTCCTTAACCGACCCAAACCTAGTATGTTTTCTGCTTCTTTTCATCAATTCTATATAAGTTTAAATAAAGCTAGAAATTGGCATTTATCCTCATTTGACTTTCAAACCGTCTGTAATTCTAAGGTGTTCTAAGCTTGCCATTTCTAAAATCTATTTAATGTATGTATCCAACCGTAAAGCTCACATTGAAAAGTCAATAGATACTGTATCAGTGTAAATAATATTGAATTTCCCTATTTTCTTCCTGAGGAAGAAAAAAAGTGAAGCTGAAACACAAGAGGTGCTTTTGACAACAGCAGTAAATGTATTCAATATGCTATTCAACGATTGTATGTTAAACTGTTCTCAGAAAAACAAGATACATTTCACTGTGGCATCTGTGAATAATGGAATGCAGTGTGTACAGTGACGAGCAGCTGCCTCTGAAAGGTAATTACAGGCGACACGTGACTAAACACGTTGCTGAAGCGAGTCTCACACCTTACCCACAACAGGAACTCCCTACGTTTGTTCTGTATGACAGCAGCACACAATGGTGTGAATCCATTGCAAACGTCTGACCTTAGCCTTTTGTTCCATTTCATTTCTCAGAAGTGTTCAGAACTTTGCCAACATTACTCAGATTAAATCTATTCAAAAGCAGATCAGCAAGTGAGTCAATCATTGACGACAATAAGCATGGGAAATATGCTAAGTATTTCAGCTATTTGGTACCGGTGGCTCCTGCTTCCTCCAGGCAGGAGTAAAGCTGGATTTACCATGCCTGCTTCAGTGTGGCAGGGACTCTGAGGCTCCACCAAAAGAATTGAAACTGCTACAACTTTTAAAAAAAAGAAGGTGAATACTCAAAAGGCTAAGGAGACACTCCATGGAGGATATAAGAACACCCTTACATGGTTATTTTGCTAGAAGTGATCTCTTTAATGTTACAAATATTTAGAGATTAAGTGATTTAGAAACAGCCAGAATTGAGATTAATTTAAATAGCCTTTAAAGAGCCACCTGCTTAATGGCTAGAGTTTGAATTTACCAGCCATTCAAAAGATTACCATCGTTTTTTTGTGTCTGGTGGTGAGTAATGCAAATCTAGTGCCGTTTGCATATTTGACCAACATTTGGAAACACCAATTCTGGTAATATAATGTTAGGGTTGGGTCATTTTTGGGTGGTTCTTTTGACAATTTAAGACTTAAGCTGCTTTCACATGATACGCTGTAAAACACACGCACTAAAATATCGCCAATTCCAGTTGTTGGGCTGCCTGTTGAAATGTTAGCATATCGCGCAACACTATTTGATGCATCAAAATAAATGTGCAGCTTTGTTAGAAAAGACTACTTTTACTCATGCAATTAACCCAAGATCAAAAGAGCATGAGCACAGATCTGATTTGATTGAATTTAGACCAGGTCCCACTCTTTCAGAAGATCTCTAACTCATAATGGGACGACCTTGGAGCAAGCCCATGTCAGGAGCCATCTTTAAAGAAGGCAATAAAAGGAACCTTATCACCTATAGGGTTAGGGAACTGCAGCTCTGATATGATTACTCTGAACCAAGCTTTGTATTCAGCAGCAAGTCCCACGAATTACATGATCATTCCATTGACAAGAAAAAAAACACAATAACAAAAAAAAAGAAGATCAATAGTTATTATAATGTTGTAGTATATCAAATATCTTTGGGTTTTGACTGCTGGTCAGCAAACAAAGAAACGTGGGCTATTTTCTGACATTTTTCAGTTTAAAAGATTGATTCACACTGAAGGGATAACAGGGAATAGTTGTGTGAGTAATGGTCAAAGATGGACTGTCGTCTCTACTCATGTTTCCTAATTAACACTTATAGGGGAAACATCAAATCATATCAAGGTAAAACAACATTTGACTGTTTCATATATTCATATTGCTAACACAAGATGTGCTTTTGTTCTCACCTTGGAGCTGTTGGTTTTGTGGGGCGTGGTTGTTTTAGGTATCTCGGGCACATTGCTGCTGATGTTGTCCCCTTCAGCCTGACCCTGGCTGAGCAGGGCCAGCAGGGAGCGCAGCTGGGGCACCGTGATGGTGCTGTTGTCCCCATAGCGGGAGAGCAGGTCCTGCAGCACCTGGGCAGGGGACTGTGTCTGACCTTCCCCCTTACATGTCACCTGGCCATAGGGGCAGAAAAGGACAGCCAGGACCAGAACAAACATCAGCTTGGACTGGAGGGGGGTGGTGGTCACTGCGGCACAGCCACGAGGTGACCAGATAAGCATGGCTTCTTCACTGGCTGGGGGACGTTGATGACCTGGGGGTGTCAAGGATAAGAACAATAGTTGAACCAAACCTTTGAAATGACAAATACACAATGCTGATACTCTTTACTCTACACAGAAGGCAGCTAGAGCTCAGTCTGTAGGGACTTCAAAACAAATGGTCGCTAGCTCAAGTCCAGATTGGTGTCCAGGAGTGGGAGGGAACTCCCTCTGGAGGGAACTTTGGGATTTTAGCCTTTGCCGATAATTAACAAAAACCTATATATCAACTACAGGGAAGGGAAAATCCTAAAAAGCTAAATAGGGCCCCTTTAATGAATGCATGTGTATAGGTCCTGTTTGTGCATGTGCATACTATGTGTGATTGAATCTAAATAACAGAGCTCAAATAAACGTTTCCTTGGGAATGATCTCTCCTTCTCAATACACTATAGCAATAGCACTGAATATAAACAACTTTGTTTTCAAAATAAACCCAAATACTTTTGTTGTAAAATTGTGGTTTTACTAATCTACACATACAGTAATAAAATAACATTGCATAGATAAAAAAGTTTATTAAAGCCTAAATGATGCTGATCAACTAACAAGTCATGACAAGTTTAAAGAAACACTTGCTGCCCATTTTTAGTAGTCCCAGAAAGCTGTGGGTCAGAACCATTGACTGTATATAGTCAGAACTGAAAAAAAGGGAGCATTGATAACTATGCTATGTACTGATATTTATTGCATCAATTGTTGAGTAGAAAAGGGGTGCCCCTATAGCAAATGAAACCCCCAAAGTGTTCAAAGGCCCAGTGTTAGGCCGTTGCCTGAGGCTCAAAACACAGAGGGAGGAGGAAACTGGTGGGATAAATACAGCCGCCAATTACACACAATTATAGCAACACATTCACCACACAATACACCAATGTAATAACCCAGCAAAGGATTACAGTAACGCTCTTTTAAACACAAAATGCACTGATAATTCAGAATATCTGAACAAATACTTTAAAGTGATATCAGCTTTTATTATAATGGGTTGTTAGGTGCCCGGTTTCAATGCACACACAGCAGGATTACAAACTATTTTTTTTATAAATCAGCCAAAAAATTATGCAAGCATTTCAACTGCATAGTGCATGCACTTTAGCCATCTCCGACACAAAACTTCAAATGTACACAGCACAAACACATATGGAAAACTGTTCCCGTGTGGTTCAATGCACAGAGCACTGATTCATTACAGTGCACCCTGCAGGTCCACACGCAAAAGTGGGCTGAATAATCACACCCATTCATTTTTGTGTGAAAAACGCACACCTTTTCCTACAGAGCCTCTAATGATAACTGGGTCTGTCTGCCTGGAGGCTCCGAGCGTGCTGAGTAATGCCCACAGGTTACCTGGGAGCAGCGAGGGGGTCTGGGGAAATAGCGAGCGGAGAGGAAGAAACGCCTGAGGAAAGCATCAAGCTCCTCAGAAGTGCAGTGGACTGTAGAGGAGAGAGACAGACGGTAAAACGGAGGTTACGATTCACCGGTGGGGAAATCTGACATGGCAGCTGCCATCTTAAATGTTCTGTATTCACTCTACCGTGGACTTTTTCAGATTCCAAACACTCCAGCACTGAGCCAAACCCACACCATTCCTTTTCTAAATCTGCAATGAGCTTCCCTTATTAATCCTAAATAAAGAAATGGCAATTTAGTTAGGAATCTGACAGGGATATACTGCAGCTGTATATTGCAAGCCAATATAATCAAGTTTATGTCACTGAGGGCTTAGGAACTCCAGAGAAGTTGTTTATAAAGCCAGGAGAGTCGAAAGAAAGAGAGTCCTCTCTTTTTAAATACTGCTGTGATGCCCTTGAGCAAACAGAACTTGAAAATGGATAGTCTGTCTGCCTTCTCCTTCATGTCATAGGCCAACTGTTTCCCTCTCTGAGGAGGCAAAGAGAAGACTCTCCTAATATGTCAACTTCTACCAATGAACTGTATCCTCCTCTACTTGCTTTATTAAGTGTTTTTTGGACGTATCTTTAGCTTCATTTGTTTCCCTTTCCCTGCACTTTGCTTTCATAAAATCATTGTAAAAGTAAGAGGAGCTCTGAACCTTAACCTCCTTACTGTATGGCTGCTATTGTAACATAGGTCAAAGCCAGGTGTAAAAAGAAACTAGCAATCATATCAAAATATGGAAAATATGATAGACATATTTGGGACTTTTTGTAGGCATTTTGTAGAATGTATAATAACAATAATAGATACAAGTATTCCATTACAGTACGTCATTCTAAAGTAAAATACGTAATCCCTATTATGCTCATTCTCATGTTTCATTCATCATTGTATTTTATGCCTCTACTGTGACATGTCTCCATGCTTTCAATGTTCAAAAATCTCTTTTCACCCTCTGTCTGAAACCAGAGCCCAGTCTGCTCTGATTGGTTAGCTGGCCAGCTCTGTTGTGATTGGTAAACTGCTTAGAGATGTCCCGCCTCTAAGCATATCATGTACAATATGTTGGCGCGCTAGCCAATAGAAGTGAGAGTGTTACATAGGGTGCGTTTCACTTCTCTTATTTTTCATTTCCTCGCTTCTCGGTCTCGGTATCACCGGAAGTTGATTTGTCTGCGCCATTTTGAGTAGCGTCCCAGTGGCCTTATTTGTGCCGGGGGATCGAGGATCGAGGAGCGAGGAGCGAGGATCGAGGAGCGATAACGGAGGAGCGATAATCGAGGAACTACCAGACCATCCTCCGGTGAAATCCTCAGACACTCGCCCCGCCCCCTTACTGTGTATCGCTCACTGATTGGACGATGCAGCGCATGCACTGATCTGGCTGCTGTCAGACGATCAGCTGTGCGGCGTCATCACAAACGGACGTCGCTTCACGTGACGCTCCGGAGGAAACGACGTCCCATTGCTCTTAAAACTCATTTCCCTGCTTCTCGTGGTTTCCTTGCGTCTCTCCATGCTTCCCTGGTGGGAATAGTGTCACTATGGAGTCCAGTGGAGACGTTTCAGGCAGGGGAGTGTGTGGGAGAGAAACTCCATCTGGATGGAACTTTTAGCCTTTGCAGACCATTTACGTCCACACTACAGGAAACACCAACATGCATAATGGGGCCTGTTTAATGAAATAAGAGATGGGAATTAGTGGGTTAGGGTTAGTTAGTTAATATTTCCAAAGTATTGGATTTGAGTTGATATACGTAAATGTATCAAACCTTTTTTACTTTATTTCCATGCCTTTTACGTAATATGGCATCAGTTTCTTTGTGACGCGAAGCTATGCTAAAATGAACCCTGGCAGGTGAAGATCAACGTGGGCTTTCTGTTTGTTTGTCGAAGTTAAAGTCGAGGATCATAACCACGCAGACGTTCGACATGCTAAGCCGTTACTTCATGAAAAGATGTGTTTAAAATGATTTGTTATTTTGTTTCTGTACATCACTAAACGGACTACCGTTTCCACCAAATCCAAACTTAAACTCCTTACAAATCATAACAACTACATCACTTTAATGTCACTTAGTTATTGCCCCCGACTCGCAGAATTGTTAGAAATGTGTGAACACAACCAGAGCAATGGGACAGCTCAAATAAATCTGAAAACCCTGGTCCTTTGGTGGTTTCCAGCACATTTTTTATTTTAAGTCTTTATATCAATGGGACTTACATGGTTATAAAAATATTGAACCAAAAAAGAACACAACCTTCCAACTATGAGCCCTGCTTGTCTTCCTCCAACCCGCCTCTGGCTGCAGGAAATCAGCCAGAGGTAAAGTGATATGGCTCTCCTTCTCCACATTTATTTTTTATTAAGAGAGATAGGAGAGGCAAGGTGTTGGAGAACATTTTTAGGAGAGGCAGCAGCAAAACATAAAGACAGCCATGCCCTGGATAAACATGGACCTTTTGATTGTTAACATGTGTGCACTACTGCAATCTCATATATGATTTATTCTACAAACACAGGTCAAAAAGCAGAGTACATTAGCATAAACATTACATATTACATATATTAGACATGTAACAGTTAATACTGTGGACAATACCCACAGGAGCGAATTAAGCTTACTTCCTGCTAGTCCCGTTCTTGATAAGATTTCATTGGCCATTAGATGGTGATCATGGCAATAATCATAGTTATTATAAGGCTCTTTTTAAATGCATGTTTTCTTTTTGTAGGTAGTAAAACTCATCATGGGTCAATTTTGGCCTATCAGTATTCAAGGTTTAAAAAATGATTCTGATTCTGAACGATATCATTTTCAAATATAGAATCTGCTCTATTCACCAAAGAGCAAGATAACCGTGTGTTATGTCGTTTTTTGTGCATGTAAATGGTCTGCAAAGGCTTACATCCCAAAGTTCCATCCAGAGAGAGTTTCTCTGGAGTCCTTATTTTGCCGAGGAGAGATACAGCTCCAAACAGCAAAGCTAAAAGTAAACACGAAAGGAGCAGAATCCTTGTTCACTGGCAGACATTTGCCTTGGTCTCAGTGTGGCTACGGTCCAATTTAAACAATACAAACTGCTTTTAAATGTCAGCATGTCAGGTCAGACTGATGTCACCGCAATCTCAGACACACATGCATTTGGAGTCCAAGACCTATTTGTAGCAGTGGAGATAAAAGGGTGGCGAGGAAAGACGGCAGGCAGTCTGCAGAAGGGAAGTCCTTCACCACGACAATGAAGGTCGCTGCCATGGAGTTAAATATGAGTTTTACAAGAGAGCCAGCAGCAGAGGAGAATGAGAATAGAGTGGTGTAATGATGAGGTATTTTTGTAGATGGACCCAGAAGGCTCCCTCTAGGAAAAGCAATGGGATTGATCCATTGGATTTTGGAATATTTCAGAAGATAAGATATTTGGCACACCTTTATGATGCTTACACGTATTGTGCAGCAGGATTCTTCCACATATTAGAATCCCTTTTATTAAATTTGAAGCGTAAATCGCCAAGAGTAAATAGTAGGGCTGCTCGATTATGGCAAAAATCATAATCTTGATTATTTGGGTCAATAATTGATATCACGATTAT